ACTGACACTTTAGGGTATGGGTCAATATGTCCACAGGTTTTATTCATAATATATAATAATAATAACAACGATAATATATACATAACATAAAAGTCATTGCCCACCCCCACATCCTCAGCCATCCATCATTATCATTTTCCACATATCAATTCGCAAGGCAATGACCCATCATAAATAACATAACATAACATTGTATAACAATCCATAAGTATAACAAAACAAGATCCAACATTTTCCACACGATCCTGGCAGGGGTATACCTTGATACCCCTACACCACCTGGGTTCTGAGCTACCACCGAGCTCGAAACCACCAACATCTTACCAACAGGTAACCAGACCATATTGAAACAGCCAACTCACTACTCTTATTCTACGCTTCCTTAAGCAGGCCCGTTACCCCCTTAACTTTCCTTACACTAGCCCGCCACAAGCTCAGACCTTGACCCCTTAAGCCGTCTGAGCTCCGCCACCCAGAAGAAATAGTGCCTTGGCCAGACCCTCCTGCAGCCCCAAATTAAATAAATCAATCCCCACCTCCAAGAGGTGCACCCCATCATCTCTGAAGTACCCTGGTGGCATGTCCTCTAGTTCCCTGTGCCGAACTACCACCCAGCCCAGCTTCCTCACAAAACTGTCTATCAACCCATTAACCTTCCCTCGGCAGCACCCTATAGCTGCCGAAACCCGTGCATGCCACCAACGGAGCCGGGGAACTATCCCAGACCATACCAACTGAACACCAGGTCCTGATCCTGTTCACATCCTGCTTCATCCTTTTTACTAATAGCCGTTGCGGGATAAGCCCAAGATCATTTCCACCTGCATGCAGCATGAGCACATCCGGCCACATACCCCTCGTAACCATACTAAGGACCTTGCTACACACTTCCCCTGTAACCAAACCATTGTAACTTAATCCGGTCCTCAGGGAAGCCCAGCTGCTGACCCAGAATACAAACTGCAGCTCTCCTCTTGGCCCAGAATATAAAAGAATGGCCCACAATCCACACCACTCGACCGAGGGAAGAAAATAAATGTCAGCCAGGGATCCCACAAGGTCAACCCCCACAGCGACTGTTCACACCATCTTATCCAACAGAACGTAGGACCGGAACCTCACCGATTCCCACCGCCCAATTTTCTTGACCATTTCATCGCCCAAGCCTAGCCGAGTTGCCTCGGTGGCTGCCCCTATGCGAAATAAGTGCGTCCCGAACTGATTCGGCCGCACCAGAAAAATCCTGAAGTCCTAGTACCGGACACCGGCCCCTGCGGCCATCTTGACCCGCCGCCTCCAGCACTGCACCGAGTTGCTCACGCAGCCAGTCAGTCCCTCTGTACCTGGAAGCATCCTGGATCCCTGCCATCAGCTCCTCCAGTGTCTGCTGAGCCATCTGCAAATAAAAAACAAACTTACCAGGCCCAGATACAAAAGCACCAATTCAGCCTGGTAAGTCAATTAGTAATGAGGTGTTATAAAATGGCCGACATTTATATCAGCCTACCCAGAATCCTGATCTGTCAATCACCAACCCCTGCTTCACCTAAGCCCACCTCCAAGCCCTGTCAAGGCCCCCTCTGCTAAGCTGGGCTTTCTTCTTGGGGCTACACACCAGTCATGCCAATCATGCAGAGAGCACGGTTCCAGTGCCCTAGTGGCCCCAAAAGTCAGGACAGGATCCTAAACTCAGGACTGTCCCGCTGAAATTGTGATGGTCGAGAGCCCATTGGAAGGCTATTATAGATATCAATATATCAATCGAGGGTTAAGTGTGAATAGTTCGGAATTCAAAATAAAATTCAAATTTTTTATACAAAATAACCAAATTAGAAGCTTCACTGACTTGGAGGATTTAACTGTTTTAGTATTTTGGCTAAAAAATTTGAAACTTAATTTGAATTCCTGACCGTTAACGTTTAGGGAATAGGCCTGGCGTTAGTTACTAAACCAGGAGTCTTGGCCAACAGGAAATAAGAGAACAAACAGGGTCACTAAACCGGAAAGTGTTCAAACTAAACACGGATTTCTTCAAGAGCGCGAACATATGAAACTCCCACATAATCATCATACAGGAACACTTACCTGTACCTATAATATACACTGCCCAGGAACACTTACCTGTATCTATAATATACACTGCCTGGAACACTTACCTGTACCTATAATATACACTGCCCAGGAACACTTACCTGTATCTATAATATACACTGCCAGGAACACTTACCTGTACCTATAATATACACTGCCCAGGAACACTTACCTGTACCTATAATATACACTGCCTATAATATATAAACACTTCCCTGTACCTATAACATACACTGGCCAGGAACACTTACCTGTACCTATAACATACACTGGCCAGGAACACTTACCTGTACCTATAATATACACTGCCAGGAACACTTACCTGTACTTATAATATACACTGCCCAGGAACACTTACCTGTACCTATAATATACACTGCCTATAATATATAAACACTTCCCTGTACCTATAATATACACTTCCCATAATATATAAACACTTACCTGTACCTATAATATACACTGCCCATAATATATAAACACTTCCCTGTACCTATAACATACACTGGCCAGGAACACTTACCTGTACCTATAATATACACTGCCAGGAACACTTACCTGTACCTATAATATACACTGGCCAGGAACACTTACCTGTACCTATAATATACACTGGCCAGGAACACTTACCTGTACCTATAATATACACTGCCAGGAACACTTACCTGTACCTATAATATACACTGGCCAGGAACACTTACCTGTACCTATAATATACACTGCCCATGAACACTTACCTGTACCTATAATATACACTTCCCATAATATATAAACACTTACCTGTATCTATAATATACACTGCCCAGGAACACTTACCTGTACCTATAATATGCACTGCCCATCGTTCAGGAACACTTACCTGTACCTATAACATACACTGCCCAGGGACACTTACCTGTACCTATATTATGCACTGCCCATAATATATAAACCCTTACCTGTACCTTTAACATACACTGCCCATAATATATAAACACTTACCTGTACCTGTAACATACACTGCCCAGGAACACTTACCTGTACCTATAATATACACTGCCTAGGGACACTTACCTGTACCTATATTATGCACTGCCCATAATATATAAACACTTACCTGTACCTGTAACATACACTGCCCAGGAACACTTACCAGTACCTATAACATACACTGCCTAGGGACACTTACCTGTACCTATATTATGCACTGCCCATAATATATAAACACTTACCTGTACCTATAACATACACTACCCATAATATATAAACACTTACCTGTACCTGTAACATACACTGCCCAGGAACACTTACCTGTACCTATAATATACACTGCCTAGGGACACTTACCTGTACCTATATTATGCACTGCCCATAATATATAAACACTTACCTGTACCTGTAACATACACTGCCCAGGAACACTTACCAGTACCTATAACATACACTCGTACAGGAACACTTACCTGTACCTATAATATACACTGCCCCTCGTACAGGAACACTTACCTGTACCTATAATATACACTGCCGCTCGTACAGGAACACTTACCTGTACCTATAATATACACTGCCGCTCGTACAGGAACACTTACCTGTACCTATAATATACACTGCCGCTCGTACAGGAACACTTACATGTACCTATAATATACACTGCCCAGGAACACTTACCTGTACCTATAATATACACTGCCCCTCGTACAGGAACACTTACCTGTACCTATAATATACACTGCCCAGGAACACTTACCTGTACCTATAATATACACTGCCCCTTGTACAGGCAGACTTAAACTGCATAAAGTTACTCATTCCATAAAGCAATACATTCATATCAGAAAATTAATCTGTGAAAAATTTATTTTATGCCTACGTTTTGTATTTTTACTTATTTTTTTTCTTTAAGGGAGATTCCTGTGAGTCCTTTCCTTAAAGGGATCCTATAGTGCCAGAGAAACAAACCCGTTTTCCTGGCCTATAGGCTCCTGGAGTGCCCCCCTCCCTTCAGCCACCTACCTGAATCCAGTGCAGATGTCCCTCGGCACTGGGTCAGGCTCCGCCCATGCGCGCATTAGATCTCCCCAAAATCAGACGCTGGAGGTCCGTGAGGATGTCCAGCGTCAGATAACGGTCTGTTTGGATTTAGGAAGCGTCTGTCTGTTTTTAACTGAAAAAATTAACAGCATTTCTAATAAAACGCTCTTCTTGGCAAACCTTTACACTTTGTAAATAGAAACAAATGAATTAAATTGTGACAAAGTTTTAATTTGCTGACCGCATACTCCGATGATACATAGAACGGACAGGTTTACTCCCAGGATTCTCGTGTTAAAGCTGTCATTATATGTACAGAGAAGAATAGATTTTATTTGAAAGAAATCCGAGTGGTTTGTGACACCACAAATCAGAGGCGCCCACCACATGGAAATACATAGAGACCCACTGATTATCTTTACTTATTCACAAATTTCCACTAGTTCTTGTAACGAAATGAAATTCTGAGCCCTGTTTTATATTCAATAAACATTATTGGCAATTTTAGATCTGAATTATATTTATTTTAACTCATACCATAAATATATGATTTAGGAAGAATAGGCAGATTATTCAAATTACCTTTATTTTTTTATTCTGTTAATAAATGATATCAAGAGATGAAACAGAACTCAATCATGATGACTGCTCAATGCGGTATATACAGCTCTGTATAATCCAATATTGTTAGTACTGGCATTTATAAAGAGCCAATATATTTCGCAGCGCTGTACAATTGTGGAAAAAGACAGTGCAACACACATAGACAAATACAAAAGATAAAGAGGTCCCTGGCCACTGGGGATCTTTAATACAAAGTACTTAGCTAGATATAGCCCATGAGCTTACAATCTAGAGGTTAAAATGGTTGAATTGAGACAAGAGATAACAGGGGAGTTTTGAGGTGATGCCCAGGAAATTTAATGAAGTTGTTATGGTGCGTGCAATGTCCTTTAATGGATAATAGCAGCCACGGGTAAGACGTAAAGGATCTCAAGCTATAAAGTTAGAAGGAAGCGAGGGTCCGGTGAGAGACACAGTTATGTGAAGATATTTACTGCGAGGAAATAATTATCGACCAGATGCTATCAGCCAAAATATTACCAGACGTACTTGGAATATTGTGAAATCCAATCACTGAAAATAACAATTAAAAACTGTACAGACAATACAGTGATAAACTACAGGAATCAAATGTTTCTGTTTACATCTTATTGGAAACATTATTCGGTGATCTTCAGAACCAACTGATAGTGGAATGGAAATACTCGATCCAGTATTGCTGGCATCGAATTGTAGGCCACAACCTCCCGTCTGAGACACATTTATCATGGGTTTCACTTGCAGACTTTCCCACGGCTCGAAAAAATATCTAGAGCTCAAATCGTGACGTTTGTTTTACTGAATGGGAGGTTTTGACGTCCGAATGTTTGGTAAACGTATCTTTAAAACCCATCTGGAATGAGATTTGCCTTGTCAACCGTTTGAAAGTGGAATTCTTGGCCTCGAAATGTATATTAATTAGCCGGTTCTAGATGGGAAGATACCGTGATGTGAAAGTTTTATGTGAACAGAAGAACATGTTATATTATGTCATGTCATGTTATATTCACAATCTCCTTGGTATACACGATCTGCAGATAGCACGTTCATCTTCCACTGAATCAGCCCTGGGGTGAAATCATTCTGACTACTATTACAATATTATTTTAGTACATATTATCCTTACTAATTGTTCTAGTGGATGGTTATTATCTACTAAATGAACACTCCATGCGCGATAAAGCTATAGTGGTGATTATGCCAGAAGTGCCTTGGCGTTCCCCTGACCCCTTAGTGTAAATAGTACAGTTAGTGCAAGAAATTAGTTCATGAGATACTCCAAGTACCATAACCACTACGCTCCGCTGTACCATATACCCCAGTACCATGGCCCAATTCTCCAGCCATGGGGCAAAATATTTTTAAACACGTGTCCCTGCTCCTACGCGCCCTTGTGGCCCAGTGACGTGCTTCCAGCCACCGCAAAGCTGCGGAGTTCAACAGTGACTGGCTGTCAGATCACCACTCTCAGCCAGCCCTGAACGCCATGCTGACTGATTACATCACAGCAGAACAGGGTTAATCTCTCAAGGCACCATCACTACTTCAAATCACTGAAGTGGTCCTGGTGATTGCAGTAATCCTTTAAAGCATTAAGTGACAGTTTGACTTCTTACCTGGGGTCCACCTTCTTTGTCTGCAGGAAACACAAAATATCCTCTGAGCTTACATTAGCTTTTCTGAGCCAAGCTCTGCAGTGATCAGCTGATCGCTCTCATCCAATGAGCTATGCCGTGCAGTGATCGGCTGATCGCTCTCATCCAATGAGCTAGGCCGTGCAGTGATCAGCTGATCGCTCTCATCCAATGAGCTATGCCCTGCAGTGATCAGCTGATCGCTCTCATCCAATGAGCTAGGCCGTGCAGTGATCGGCTGATCGCTCTCATCCAATGAGCTAGGCCGTGCAGTGATCAGCTGATCGCTCTCATCCAATGAGCTAGGCCCTGCAGTGATCAGCTGATCGCTCTCATCCAATGAGCTATGCCGTGCAGTGATCGGCTGATCGCTCTCATCCAATGAGCTATGCCGTGCAGTGATCGGCTGATCGCTCTCATCCAATGAGCTATGCCGTGCAGTGATCGCTGATCGCTCTCATCCAATGAGCTAGGCCGTGCAGTGATCGGCTGATCGCTCTCATCCAATGAGCTATGCCGTGCAGTGATCGGCTGATCGCTCTCATCCAATGAGCTATGCCGTGCAGTGATCGGCTGATCGCTCTCATCCAATGAGCTATGCCGTGCAGTGATCGGCTGATCGCTCTCATCCAATGAGCTAGGCCGTGCAGTGATCGGCTGATCGCTCTCATCCAATGAGCTATGCCCTGCAGTGATCGGCTGATCGCTCTCATCCAATGAGCTATGCCGTGCAGTGATCGGCTGATCGCTCTCATCCAATGAGCTAGGCCGTGCAGTGATCGGCTGATCCCTCCCATCCAATGAGCTAGGACGTGCAGTGATAAGCTGATCGCTCTCATCCAATGAGCTAGGCCCTGCAGTGATCGGGTGATCCCTCTTATCCAATGAGCTAGGCCATGCAGTGATAAGCTGATCGCTCTCATCCAATGAGCTATGCCGTGCAGTGATCGGCTGATCCCTCTCATCCAATGAGCTATGCCGTGCAGTGATCGGCTGATCCCTCTCATCCAATGAGCTATGCCGTGCAGTGATCGGCTGATCGCTCTCATCCAATGAGCTAGGCCGTGCAGTGATCGGCTGATCGCTCTCATCCAATGAGCTATGCCATGCAGTGATCGGCTGATCGCTCTCATCCAATGAGCTATGCCGTGCAGTGATCGGCTGATCGCTCTCATCCAATGAGCTAGGCCGTGCAGTGATCGGCTGATCGCTCTCATCCAATGAGCTATGCCCTGCAGTGATCGGCTGATCGCTCTCATCCAATGAGCTATGCCCTGCAGTGATCGGCTGATCCCTCTCATCCAATGAGCTATGCCCTGCAGTGATCGGCTGATCGCTCTCATCCAATGAGCTATGCCCTGCAGTGATCGGCTGATCCCTCTCATCCAATGAGCTAGGCCCTGCAGTGATCGGCTGATCGCTCTCATCCAATGAGCTATGCCCTGCAGTGATCGGCTGATCGCACTCATCCAATGAGCTAGGCCGTGCAGTGATCGGCTGATCGCTCTCATCCAATGAGCTAGGCCGTGCAGTGATCGGCTGATCCCTCTCATCCAATGAGCTAGGCCATGCAGTGATCGGCTGATCGCACTCATCCAATGAGCTATGCCCGTGCAGTGATCGGCTGATCCCTCTCATCCAATGAGCTAGGCCGTGCAGTGATCGGCTGATCGCTCTCATCCAATGAGCTATGCCGTGCAGTGATAAGCTGATCGCTCTCATCCAATGAGCTATGCCGTGCAGTGATAAGCTGATCGCTCTCATCCAATGAGCTAGGCCGTGCAGTGATCGGCTGATCGCTCTCATCCAATGAGCTAGGCCGTGCAGTGATCGGCTGATCGCTCTCATCCAATGAGCTATGCCATGCAGTGATCGGCTGATCGCTCTCATCCAATGAGCTAGGCCGTGCAGTGATCAGCTGATCGCTCTCATCCAATGAGCTATGCCGTGGAGTGATAAGTTGATCACTGCAGGGCCTAGCTCATTGGCTGAGAGTGATAGTAATTCACATTTTTTTCCCCCAAGACCAGACCGGAAATAATTTTTAATATTTGTAGATTTTGTCATTTTAGTTCCGATGAATCTATACATTATAAGATTTGCGGCACATTTTACGGGTTACTCCATGCTTTATACACATTATAGCCCACTGTAGTGATTATGGTACCAGGACTACCCTGACCTAGTTTCCCAGTAATGGGGCAAACAGTTGTTTTTTGTTTTGTTTGTGATTTTATATATCAGTGTTGAGTCCTGAAAAATGATACAAATAAGAGAAAAGTCATCTATGGAATGCGCCTGCTGGGTTACTGGTTTCCATGGTGACTGTCTCACTTATACCTTTTGCACCATTTTTCAGAACATGACAGTAATAAATCTCCCG